TTTCATGGACAAACCGCCCTGAAAACGATTTAAAAGCCTAAGCTATGCTCTCTCCAACACAGAGTCAAATGGCAAAGCAGTGGGAATGATACCTAAGACCTACGGTCTGAGAGGCATGCAAGATCCCTCACCACCCTGGACAGTTCCACAGAATAACACAGTAACAGGCTGTGAGAGGGACCACAGCTACTCACAGATCCCCTCCAGCTTCTCTGCCTTCCTCCCAAGAGATTCAAGAGCGAATAAGGACTGTGAAGCTAGTTCCCTAACCTGTTATATTCCCTAGCAACCACCACAAACTGCCCCCTAAACAACTCTCCATGACACTAACCGGGAAGATCTCTGCCTCAGGCTGTTTACAACCTTGTGCAGGGACAGACATAAAAAATGTATAACAGTAAAAATAAAAATAAAGAGGTGTTCTTTCCCTTGATTATGACTTGGAGGTTTCATAAAGGCATCCCAGAGAAATCTTTTGTCTGTACTTGAGCTACAAATTGAAATCATGATGTGGGAAAGAGGTTTTCAGGGGAGATACCTGAGGAATACTGAGAGACACTGTGGTGGTACAGTGTCACAGGTGTAACACAGATCCAAAGGGCCTGGTACCAAATTAGCTTTGTCTCAGCTCTGACTGGTCCTAATTCATGCTTTACCACCAGCTTAAAGGCCACCACCCTGATCATTGCTGGTGCTGTCCCCACCTCCTGTCACACATCAGCTCCCCATACACACAACACAACATCCTACATCATTATCATCTCAACTGTGTGTCACAAATTTGTATGACCATGCAGTCACTCATCTGCAACCTCACTGACTAGGTATGAATTATGTCACTCTATTCAGTTCTGTAACCCAGGTATAGTATCTGTACCCATAGTAACTGTTAGGTATAGTATCTATCCAAACACACTGACACATTTTATTATATGAACAAATGAAAATAGACATGAGCTGCCAAAGGAATCTTGGGTAAAGGAACAGCAATCAGATGGTGGCTTCAGAAATCAGTCCAGGTGTAAAATTCAATTCAACTGGAAGGGAAATAGAGCTGGGAGACAGACAGCAGAGAAGACTGCTAGAAATGTCCCCAGGTAAATAATTACTAATTGCTTAAAACTGAGAGCTGCCGGAATCTGGACAGGGATGATGAGGATGATATAGAAGAGACGCTACAGAGGCAGAATCCAAGAACACGGTGCCAAGGGGCAAGGCAGAGGGACACGCACCATGAGGAGAGTGAGAGGCGGCAGTAGATGCTGGCAGAGTGAGGGTTTCCTTCTAGCTCAGAAACTGTATGGCTGAAAAGCAACTAAAATCCAGTCTAGCTATATTTAAACAGGCGTGTTTTCCATTAATAGGCTTATAAAGGTCATTTTAACTGAACAAGACACTTCTTGTGTGCACATACTGTGTATCAGGCATGACTCCCACGTGGGGATATAAAGACCAGAGCAGTCAGCCTTCAAGAAGTTGCCTGAGAAAGTAACCACATGTCAACAACAGGGAAAATCCGGCCCACTGAGGCTGTGATTTGACCAGTCACCATATGTAGTCAATATTTCTAGAATGCTGACTTCACACCCAACAACAGATGGTCCAGGCAAATCTGCAACTCAAAGGGGAACACAAGGGTATGGATGGACCCTCTTACTTTGCATCTAAGGACACTTAAAGCATTATGTCCATGGACACAAATCACGCCCTGTCACTGAGTTGCCTTGGATTGAGTTGCTATCGGCAGTAGACTGGGGGTCTCAGCCTAAAAAAAGAGACAGAACCCTGATTTACACAGAAGAGCCTAGCTGAGCACAGGACAAATTCTGGTGGGGCCAAGGCCAATCTCAGGAGGCCCTTGAAGTGCAACGGACAGATGAGTGTTCAGGGAGGCAGGGTTCTCTCCTACCAACGGCAAAGAGTGCTTTCCCAAAGGATGCAGGGCCACAACCTAAAGCAGGCATGCAGAAAAGCAGATGAGGGAATGGCTGTGAACATTACAGCTCAGATTCGGTGCATCCCATGCAGGACCACACTCGCAGTGCTGCGCTTCCCAAGGCCACCAGACCTGGAGGATCTGACAGTGAGGTTCTTCCAAAACCACAACAAAAAGCAAACACACCCCTCCCGAAGCTGACGCCATACCCTCCTTCCTTTACAAACGCTTTATAGAGTGTGCAGTTGGGTCGTGACTACCTCGACTCCCTTCCACACACTCAGTCTGAGTTCTCTCACAGCTGACCCCATCATCCCTGCCACTCTAGCCTTTGAGACTGGTTCAGCCACAGCCTGTGAGAAGCACCCCGTACTGTTCACTGCCTCATGCTCTGTGCAGCTCTCTCCAGGGTGGTTCACCTTGGTGTTCCACAATAGCTCCTAAGCACTTACTGCATCCAAACAGATAGAGACCCGGGAAGACATGATGAAAGGCTAGGTTTATCCTCCCAGATCTCCTCAGCCCTTCTACCCAAGCAGACCTAATATTTTGCCTGCACAAATTGGAAATACCTGCATTCTCAACAGCAGGGTTTTGTTGTACTCTGAGAAAAGGTCTCACTATGGTTGCACTTGCTAAGAAACCCAAGCCAGCCTCAAACTCGTGATCCTCCTAACTCAGCCTCCAAGTGCTGGAATTACATGGTGTGTTTTCACGCACTCTTTTGTTCTTGAGATGGCATATACATTACGCATAACTCGAACTTTGGCCCAACCTATCTCTGACTCCAAAGTACCAATATGACAAGGTGCAGAATTATTTTCTTACAGTAACATTTCAGCTAAAAGTCTATCTCATAGCTGAGATGCTGTTAAATTAAGGCCTTCAGTATTTCTCACCTATGTGCTTAAGTCAGAAAATTTAGGCTCCTTTGTCCCTTTTCAGCCTAGAGAGTATAATGGGCCGATGTTCAGAAAGGGAAGAAATTGTGTCTTACTTAATAGCAGTGCTTAGAACCACAACCACTCAACATCTCCCCAAAATAACCGTTATCTATCTAGTTTCACTTTCAGGGAAGCACCCTCACTGGTGTGGATGTGCCCAGTAAAAACAACATAAATGTCCTTCGGTTTTAATTAAAAGACATTTAAAAGGCTTCCTTTTGTAATTGTGTGGTCAAGTCACATGACCACCAAATAAAGATCTAATCTGTATGCCTGGTCTATTAACAGTACAAAAATAAAAATCAGTACAACTTTCGAGTTCTTGGATACTCTAAACCTTTGGCTCTCAACCTGTGGGTCATGACCCTTTGGGGTTGAACAACCCTTTCACTGGGTCACCTAAGACCACTGGAAAACACAGAATTTACATTCATAACAATAGAAAACTACAGTTATGACATAGCAACAAAGTAATTTAATGGTTGGGGGTCACCACAACTGTGAGGTGGTAGCAATGGGAAGTTGGTCTAAGCTACTGTGTCACACTGCAATCAGTCATTAAGATTTACTCAGAACTGTATAAAATTTTACTAACAGGATAAGAGAAAATTTTGTGCACAAAGTAAAATAATAACCGGCTGTGCAACCGGATGGAAACTTCACGCATGGCACGGAAAGTTTCTGACGCCAAAGCCTTGGAGATGGGACTATGAAGGCCGTGCTGTGCTCCTGACTTTTCACCCAGTTTCAAGACGTGACCTTGGGAATGTCACGCAATTTCTTTCATTCCTACGTCTGTAAAATGGGGCAATTTTACACTCATGGTCAGATAGAAAAGTTGCTATGTATCTGGTGTTCTTACAAAGAAACTTGTCTAATTATAATTGTACGTTCTAATCACCACACGCACAGAACATTCCTCTTCAAGAACCCGATTCCAAGAGACATATTCAAGCAGATGTAGAAGACAGATTTTTTTTTTTTTTTTTTCTGAAGGGAATGGCTTTATAAATCTGGAAAGCACTGTAACAAGATTAGAAATTAACAAGCTGATTACATAATCCTTGACAACCTGGGCTTCTGACTACACTGATACATACGGTGATAAGTTTAAGGACCGATTTGGGACAGAGCGTCCCCAATCCCTACAAATAATCCAAACTGAGCCTTTTTAGTGTCGAACAGGAATCTGGAGGAAACTCTGCAGAAGGTCCATTGCTTACTTCACCTTAACCCTGACAAGACACTTCAAGCACTGAGGTGGCTTCACCAAGGCCCCTGAGGCTTGGAGAATATGCTCACTTAAATGGAAGGGAAAGTAAGAACCCGGACGGTGAGGTCCCCATATCGTTTGAATTCCACAGCCCTGGAACCCCGGAGTTAAATGCACACCTGACCCGAACTCACAGCGGAGCTCCTGGGTTCTAGCTGAAGGCACTAACACGGCTCGTGGAAGCCTAAGCATAAAGGGTTGCCACTTTCCAGCTTCCCGACCGAACCCAAGCAAAAGGCAGCAAAGGCGTCTGCATTTATTTTAAATGCTTCGGAAAGAAATCAACAGGCGACGTCCATGGAGAAGAGCGGCGTCTCCCCAAGCCGGGGAAAGAAAATACATATATACACATACACATATATACCCTAGCAGTCCCCGGGGAGCCGCACCGCCGCCCCCTCCGCAGCCCGGCGCCCTCTGCACACACGCCCCGCGTCTCCGTGCTACCGTGAGGCGGCGGCCGGACCCGAGGCCCACGGGGAAACTGAGGCCCGCGGAGCCCGTGCCGCCCCGGGGCCCGCTGCGGGCGCGGCGCCGCGGCGACTCCCCGTGCTGCCGCAATCCCGCGGCCGCCGCAAGGGCAGGGCAGGGCCGGAGACTGCGCGAGGCCCGCAGGCCCCGGCGAGCTCGGGGCCGGGGTGGCGCCGCGCGCGGGCCGCGTCCTCCGCGCAGGGCGCCCCGGGCCGGGCCGGGCCGAGTCGGGTCGGGTCGGGCAGGGCCGAGCGCGCAACTTACTTTCCGCCCGCGGCGGCGCCCGCCCAGCCCCTCTGAGGCGACCGCTGAGGAGCAGCGCGGGCCCGGCCCACGCTCCCGCCCGGCCCGGCCCGGCGCGCCGCACTCGCCCTACCTCAGCCGGCGGGCGGGCATCGGTCCGCAGCGGCCGCGGCGTCGACAACTCCCTCCCGACCGCCGGAACCCCGCACCCAGCGCTAATCATAATACCGAGCGAGCGGCCGGGGGTGCGGCCGCAGTGCGCGTGCGCGGGCCCTACGTCACCGTGACGACGGCGACGGGGTGGGGTCTCGCGTGGGGGGGCGGGGCCTAGGCCCGGCCGGGGCGGGGCCGGCCAGGCGCACCTGCTAGGCCCCGCGCGCCGCCAGGGACTGACTGCCGGCTCTGGATGGAGGGCTGGGGCGCTGCGGAAGAGTACGGGTTGCACAGGAAGGGGGGGGGGGGATGCGCCAAGGCGATGGCCAGCCACGGGACTCACGCAGCTCCAGCTGGAGCTCTCAGCCGACAGCTGAGGGCAGGCGCTGCGCCTTGGGGTGGAGGGCAGGGAGCACACGCGCTTTATCCCTGAAGGTTCGCTCCATCTTCCATCCAGCTTGAAGCAATGAGACAGCCAGAGGAATGTACATATGCACGTACACATGCGCACATGTGCACAAACGTGCACATTCATATGCACAAACATGCGTACACATATGCACATACACACACACTTTTTTTTTTCTTTACTGTTTCTTCTCTCTCGGAATCCAATTGAAGAATTCTGTTGATTTTGTTACTACTTAACAGGAAGGAGCACCTACCCGCAGGCTTGTCTCCAACAAGTCAACAGAAGACACCGGCCAGGCCAGACAGCACGGAGAAGTACATATCAGGCCTTAACGTGGTTGTTCATAGTCCTGCTCCACGGTGACTCCGGAAGGGACCTTAGTGGTGGCAGGACAAGAGGGAGGACTCCCAGCTCACTCCTGGGAACTCGTCCTCTGGGGTTTCTGAAGAGGAGTGCAGAGAAGCCAGGTCCCAGGTCCCCCCCCCCCCCCACACACACACACCAAGCTGCTTTCACTGTGTTCCCTCATCCCGTAAGAAAGGTCTCCAGGAAAGGAAGACATGAGCAAAATGAGCTGCCTGGACTGACAAAGGAACCTAAACGGCTTTTACCAACCAACCTCTCTGTCGGTGAGACAACGTCAGAAGTCTTTTTCCTTTTTAATTCATTTATTTATTGCTACAACATCTACTTTGCATGCCTGAAGATGGCCAGGAAGCAAAATGGGTGGGAAGGTGGTCTCTGGGTAATAGCAAGATCTTCTGCTGAAAAGGGGGTGTGTTTAGCCCTGGGTAGTGGAGTGCACGCAGGAGAGCCTCACACTTGGCCCCTGATGCTTCAGGCCCTGCCTCTGCAATCGCTCTGACTTAAGATCTTGAAAGGACAGCGCCATTCTGACATGGAAATTCTTTCTTTTTCACTCTTTTTCCTCTTCCTTCTTCTTTTCTTTCTTTCCTGTGGTGTGTGTGTGTGTGTGTGTGTGCTGTGTGTGTGGTGTGTGCTGTGTGTGTGGTGTGTGCTGTGTGTGTGGTGTGCTAGTGTGTGGTGTGTGTGTGTGTGTGGTGTGTGTGTGTGTGTTGTGTGTGATGTGACACCCATGTAGAAGCCTGAGGGCAAACTGTAGGAGAGACAGCTCTGTCCCTCCATCCCTCCACTATGTGGGTCCCTGGGAATGAACTGAGACCACCAATCATGGCAGCAGGCACCTCCACCTACTAAGCCATCTCAGAGGCCCTGACAGGGAGATTCTATTTTAGACATGCATTGAGCAAGTACTCCTAACTCCCAATGTGGACTTGCATAACTCACTCTTTTGCTGAAATACCATGACCTTTCCCCTCTGGGAGCAATCACTAGTCAGGGGACACTGTGGCCCACAACGGAGTAAAAGTATCACTCTAAAGGTCTCCCAGGGGAAGTCCAGTGGCCTCGAGTCTGTGTCCCAAAGGGGCATCCATAAGCACAAGACAGTGACTACGCACAGGAGCCCTTTAAAATCGGGTGTTTATGTTACAGCTGTGTAACACGGACTCTGACCAAAACAATAATATATTGAAGTGAGTCAAAATTATAAATAGATTTAAGCGAAATCAGCTTCGGTTCTCTTCCTGAGATGCACATGGTGGTCATTTACGCACCCGCAGGGTCTCCTAGGAGGCTGGGGCACTGCTGACAGGAAGGTGATCCATTTTCAGCGCCATACTTCAATGTGTTAGTTAACATGACATGATTATGCTTGAGCAATATTTTAAAAATATTTAAATACAAATTAAGGTACTATTACTTTACTTGGCTTTTAATCAAATTTGCTTAGTTTGATAAAGAAACCCCTTCGCGAATCTGCCTCAAGGCTGTCTTTGATATACAGTTTTTTAATGTTGGGTTTTTGTTTTTTTCATGGACTTGCAGGAAGCTTTAATTAGATACACAGTACAAAATGACAGGATGGAGCTTGTGTTACAGTCTCTGATTCAGGTCTCAAAAAGCAACAGAGTGGTGACTATTTAAGGAAGAAGTTGTTTATTAGAAGAAAACCAGGGAGGTGTGATGAATTAGATCAAAATGTGGAAACCAAGCAGATCCATGAAGAATTACTGTTCTGTTCTTGACCCTCCCTCAAAAGCAATGTGATTAAAAAAGGTTATCCTACCCAGGCAGTATTACTTTCATCAATTACAAAAAGAGTCGAAAGTATATTTAAAGCAACGATTATTGATCATCCACCTAAAGTGAATATTTTGAATTGTGATTATTGATTTTTCTCTTACATTTTCAACTAGTCATTTCGTACATTAATACATTTTTAACTTTTCTGATGCATCTGTAAATCTTGGCTTCATCCCAGTACACACAAACACTTCTTCATTTGAATGGCCTCAAGACTCCTCATAGACCCCTTCCTCACTCTCTGGCATCAGTTAACACCTCCTAACTCTCTTACCCCAGATGTGAATTAATTCACATGCGTGTGTGCATGCGTGCATCACACATCAGGTGTCTTTCTCAATATCTTTCCAGCTTGTGTTTTGAGGCAGCATCTCTTACTGAGCCTGGAGCCCACTCACCCTGGGATCACAGGGATGCATGAGTTCTGTGCATGAGTTCTGAGGATCCAGACCCAGTCAGTAAGTCTTACTAACTGAGCCATCTCACTCGCAGTCATTGGTGATGGTAACTCTCTCAAAGGGTGGGGGTAAAATAGTAATTCTTAAACCAGGTCCCCCGAGCAGCAGGATCCACTTCTCCCGGGAACCTTGGCTGAGTTTTGAATTCTCTCAGATTGACTAAGTCAGAAATTCTAGTTTTTCTGTTTGGGGATATCCAGGTGCCTAAGGTGGAAATAAAGTTTGAGAGCCACTGTTGATGGCATTGACTGTACATAAACTTCAGACGGTGCTAACGTACCAAGAGCAGCATATCAATGGCAGTTTTATAAAAACAACACAACATGGTGTTGTCAAAAGGCACAGTTTTACAACCCCCTGCCCCAAAGTTACATGTGCATTTTACTCCTGTAGCAAATAATCACTTGTCCAAAGCTTCTATATAACCTACTAAATCCCTTACCATAGCCCTCTCTCTCTCTCTCACACACACACACTCTCTCTCTCTCTCTCACACACACACACACACACTCTCTCTCTCTCTCTCTCTGTCTCACACACACACACACACTCACACACACACACACACTCTCTCTCTCAAACTGTGTTAGGCTGGCCTCAAACTCACAATGCTCTCATATCAGTCTCAATGAGAGATTATAGACGCCTCGTGCTCACCGTAGTCTCTGTGTCCCTCCAACTTTCCTACTTCTCAGAAAGAGAATGGCTGTTTCACCCCCAAGCCTTTGCCTTTATGTCCCCTTCGATTTAAAATACAACCTCCTTCCTCTTCTGCTTCCAACTAAATCCATACTTAGCTTTAAACCCCAGTCACCGCTGGGTACCCACTACTACCCCACTCCAACCTGAAGCGGGGCTCTGGAAACGCACACCCTCTGTCCGTAGCGCCTACAGACATCTTCTTTTGCAATCCGGTTGTCTTGAGTTTCTTTTTCTTACTTAACTTTCTTAGTTAATTTTGCTTACTTCCAGCAAAATATTAAATAGAACAGGAACAAGGGGGCAGATTTGCCTTTTTTTCCCTCAAATCTATGTGCACCTGTAGGTCGTCACTATAAAGTGTGATGTTTCTTTCCACAGATGCCTCTTATCTGGTTGATACACTTCATAGTTTGAGTTTCATCACGAATGAATATTGGATTTTGCCAAATGATTTTTCTGTGTGTATTCACACAGCCACTTGGTCTTTGTCCTTTATTAATGGTGTGTAGCATTAATTTTCAAATGATAAACCAACCTTGCACCCCTTGGATAAATCCAGCTTTGTCCTTTCTAGATGTTGCTATATTCAACTTTCTGACACTTTAGAAGGAGTGTGTGTGTGTGTGTGTGTGTGTGTGTGTTCACATGCTATTTTCCAGTGTCTCTGGCCTCACAAAATCAGAAAACATGTGTCTCTTCTTTTTCTGAAAAAGCTCATTAACATTTGTCATTATCTCTTCTTAAATGTTTGACAGGATTCACCAGTAAAACTATCAGGGCCCAGACATTTTTTAATGGAAAAACTTCTAATTTGTAATTCAATTATTTACTCTGCTCTGACTTTCTGTTTCTCCTCAAATTTGCTTAGATCGTTTGTCTGTTTCTGAGAGTGTCACCTACCTTTCCCTTAAGATATCTCATTTATCCTTCATGTCATCTCTTAGCAAGCCTCTCTGCCTCTGCTGATGGCAACATCACTCACTCACTTGCTAAGATTTTTTTTTATTATCTTTTCTTTTCCAAGATTTGACTTTTGCTTTTGCTATTTTCCCTTATTTTCACGGTTTTATCAGTTTTATTTCTGATTATTAGCATCTGTCATCTGTTAGGAATTTAATTTGCTCTCTTCTGGAACCCTTTCTTTTCTGCGTTAGTCATCAAAAACTACATTTACTTTGAAACTGGACTTATCCACATCCCCTACACTTGAGGGGCTGTGGTTCTGTCTACTTTGCTGTGTGGTCATCTTCAACCCATGGTTTATTAAAAATTCCACCGCTGAGTTCCCAATACTTGAGATCTCAGAGTTACTTCTGCCCTCAGGCTTTGTTATTCTGTCGTTCTCAGAGACCACACTGTGGAGATTTTTGGTTTTCTGAGTAATA